GGGGGGGGGGGGAGCACTGCAGCACAATGACTTAGAGCAAATTGCTAATGAACGGAGTTGCCTCCTGTTAGCCTAAAAAATAAAGAAACTGGAAAAGCCAGAAAAAGAAACGAGCACAGGCCCAGGTTTCTTCAGTTTATTAGGTGCTGTAATCCGCAGGCCCAAAGGAGATGCCACCAGTCTCTACAGTCCCCAGCTGTGTGTTAATCAAATGCAAATGGCCCAAGCCAGCAGGCTGGAGCCTAACCAGGCGGGCCCAAGCACCTGGGAGCTGGGCAACCATTGGCTCCTGGGCTGTGGGTACAGCCCTTTAAAGTCCTCAACCTCAGCCCATTAAGGTCAAGGCAAAGAAAGCAGGTGATGGCTGGAGGGCTGTGGCTTCTGGTGGTACTGGTGGTGCTTTGGGGTAACAGCAGGGCAGGGGTTCCCTGGGGCCCCACATGGTGCATGCCCATCCCGCGAGCCTTGGTGCTGTGCCACGACATTGGCTACACAGAGATGTGGCCGCTCAACTTGCTGGGCCATGACATGGGGGCCAAGGCCATCCAGCAGGCTGTGCCTGATGGCCAAGGAGTGCCATTGTGATGCCCGCCTCCTCTTCTGCTCCCTCTTTGCCCCGCTGTGCCTCGAAAGGTAGGGTGGGGGCTCCCAGGTGAGGGTGGGGGCCTCTCCTCAGCCAAGGCCTGTACGGGCAGCTCTTCCATTAATCGCTGCTGAGCGCCCATCAGTGCCAGCTGCTGACAGGGGCAGGGAGGAAGATGATTTTTTGTCAGGGTGTTCCTGGAGGAGGGGAGAGGGTGTCCATGGGACCACCCATGGTGAGCACCCTTGTCCGGACCCACAAATCATCAAGGGCTCTTAAATGTCAAGGTAAGGCAAGTGGGCAGGCTGCTTTAGGCTGGGGGGCTAGGAGCCCCTCCCCAGTGAGGTGTGGAAACTCTCTGCCCAAGGGATCCCCGCAGGAGAGGGAGCTTGGCTCACTGGGTGGCCTTCCTCCCACAGATGGCAGGGCTGCTTCTTCCTCCCCAGGCCAACCTATCCCATGAGCAACAGCTCCCTCGGCCCCTTTGCAGAGCGAGGGCCCTTCCCAGAGCCTCGGGGACCGTGCCCGCAGCAGCAAACCTGGGTGGGCTCTTTCGGAACCCCAGGGCGGAGGCCCTGCACTGTCTGCAGGACAGGAGGGAGGCCCCTCCCAGACACCAGACGCCCACCAGAGCTGCAGGGGGGGCTCTGGAAAGAGAACAGCCGCCCGGGCCACGGGAGGAGGCGTGGGGCTCAGAGGACAAAGAGCGGGAGGGGTGGTGCAGGGCCCAGGGCTGACTTTCCAGGGAGCAGAAAAGCCGGGCGCAGGGCTGTTGCTAGGTGACCAGGTTTCGTTGCCCAGCAACGGCGGAATTACTGGCCTCAGCCCAACCTGCAGTCCAGGAAACCTGTGCTGAGCGCCCCCCGTCCCCCTACCCCCTTCCTCCTTCCCGGGGGGCCGTCTCCCCAGGTCAGCTGCGCGCCCATCACCGCCGGCTGCGGCTACCCGCTCCCCGGGCCCAGGACCCCACCCTTTCTAATCGCTCCCCGCGGGACTCAGGTAAACCCGTCTCCCGTGGGAAAGAAAAGGGCCCGCCCACGGCAGCCTTCGGTCTCATGCAGGGTAAAGGAGGAGGGGACGCGGGAGGGGGCAGTGCTGACGCCCCTCCCCCCAGCGCCGCGGGCCAGCTGCGGGGACTGAGTCGCAGGAAGCGCGGTCTTCCAGGGAGGCCTCGGACACGCCCCTCGCGTCCAGCAGACCTTAAACACACCTTACACCCTCTAGCTCCTGGCTTGGGCCAAGACACATGAAAGAAGGGCTACCCAAATGCTATGCCTGGTTAGAGCTAAAAACGTAAACCCCTTTAATATGCTTGGGACATTGCTGAAACAAAACAAACAAATCTGCTAAGGAGGGTGGCATCCAGGACAGCCCTTCTCTTAGGACCAAGATTCCAAGAGCAGAGCCTCAGAGGAGAGGGTTCACCAGGTGGAAGGGATGGGAAGGGGATACTCCCAGACTCAGCCCTGTTCATCACCCCACCCCTCCCAGCCCATTCACCGCTGCGGGTCATCCTCTGGCCCTCTGGCCCCACAGACTTAGACCTGGGGTCCCGGCTAGAGGTGCTGAAGGCAGGCCCACTGCCCCCCGTGGAGCTGGCGCCCACTCTGCAACACTGGCGGCAGATGGATGCTACTTGCATCCACAACCTCCTACGTGGAAGACATGCTGGGACCTATGTGCTGAGTGGGGAGGTGCAGGGCCACCGGATGCTGGTAACCAGGGCCTATGCTTGGAGCTGGGGTCATCAGAATCTGCAGCTGGCCGTATGCAAGTGGCACCATCATCAGTGTCCAGAATAGGGGCTAACACAGGCACGGAGAGCCTGGGACTTTGTAACCACAGCCTCTGCAAACTGTGGCTGTGTGCTCTCCTGGACACAAACCCCTTTCTGATACCCCAAGGATATTTGCAGGCCAGAGTCCAGAAAAGCTCCAAGGCTCACCCACAAATGGCTCAAGCAGAGCAGAAGCCCATTTCTGTTGTCAGAGCTCGGGGTCTCTTTCTAAGCTGGTAATGCTCTGCCCAAACAAAAGGCAGACCTGCCCCCTGTCAGCTGTGTGTGCTGGGCAGGCAGGGCCACCTTTTTGGCCTTCCTAAGCCTGGGATAACAACCTGGCTAATGACCTGCGCTGCCCACAAGCCCCAGCACCCCAAGTTGAGCCTTTGGGCAGGTGCAAAGCCTTGGGCTATGCCCACCCTGCGCCCGATGCTGGTCAAGCCTCAGGCAGACTCAGTTGTACCTGCCTGATCACTGATCTAATTCTGCCAAGCAGCAGGCCTGTGGAACACCAGGTGGTGGTGGTGGGGAGGTCCATCCAGAAAACTGCTTTAAGCTGCTTACAGACCTGAAGTAATATAATATGCACACTAAAATTCTTTCCCCACTTCTGACATTTATTAAGAGCACAGTGGTCTTAAGTAGCTGCCCAATTGTGTTCTTATGTGGAAAAAGAATAAATTTGGAAATCCTATGATAAAGTAGTCATGGTTTTAAAATAAACTGTTTTGTGTACTGGTGCCAATCACTCATTCATCTTAAATGGTAAGAAAAAATGGATTAAAACTCTTGCTGGCCACTGGAAGTGCCCCCTGCTGCTCTTGAAGAGGGTGCCGAATCTGGAGGCACCTGCCCAGAGGCCACCCTGAGCAAGTGGGCAGGTGCTGGGTTAGGTGAGTGCCCAGAAAACCCCTCCAACTAGTCAATAATGACTAGTATTAGGCAGGACTCAGTCTGATGGACACACAACCAGAACAAATCAGGCTTTCCACACATGCAGCTCATCTTTAGGGTCAGAGGCACAAATGACACAAATACATACAGGATAGTTTCCAATGATGCTAAGTGCTGAGAGAAAACCAAGCAGTCTGATGCAACCTCTCAAGTGACTAGAACCCCTTAAGACCAGTTTAAGGATCAGAGAGTTCTCTGAGGGGAGGATATGTGAGCAGAGGCCTGGTGGAGGGAACAGCACGTACAAAGGCCCCAAGGCAGCAATGATCTTGGTGTCCAAGAATCAGCTGGGAGTAAGTTGGGGTGGCAGGAGGAGATGAGGTCTGAGAGGTAAGAGGGCCTGGGGTACCAAATGAGACTTAGAAGTGAAATGAGAAATCTTGGAGGCTTTTAAGGAAGCAAGTGATGAGGCATGATCTGCTATTTAGATACAAAATGAGTGTAGAGTGGATGGAGGCAGAAGTGAGCCACGTGAAAGAAAGCAATGTTCCCAGAGAGATGACAAGGACTTAGAACTGCAGCATCTCCCTTCTGAACTGAACAGAATTTGAAAGGTCCAAATCCTTCAGAAACACCTACCAATCAAGCAGTATTTTCGAGGAACTTGGGGTGGGACCTTTTGTGGCCCAGGTCCCACTTGCCAAATGTCTCTAGTAACAAGGGTGGGAAACAGGAAATGTTCCCCAAAGGGAGGTTTCATGGGGTCCTCCCTATGACGTGATGGGGTTCCCTTCCTGGGTAGAACTGAGCCCCCTTACCCCAGCTTATATTCCGAACGCCCTCGCCTTGGGCCCTGGCACCTTGGGCCCTCAAGGCTGGTGGGTCACAGGTTTGGAACCAAGAGGAGCAAGGCAGAGCCCACACAGCAGGCCCACTGTCCTTGGGCCCTCCCTGCCTCTTTAGGGCGACAGTGGATGGATGGACAGGCAGGCATACAGGACAGATGAACACTGCTCCTTCTTGGGTCAGGCTTCCTTCTGTGGGTTCATCCAACATCACAGGTTTCAGGAGCTGCCCCTCCCTGGACACTCCCCCCCCTGCGGTTTCCCTCACAACTGGACATCTTGTAGCCACTGACCTCATCTTCATTAGTCTCACCTCATCCCACCAAGCAGCAAGCCCCAGGGCTTTCTGGGTGAAACCTGGGACATCTTCCACCAACAGACTCAAAGGCAATGTAAGAGCCTGGAGATTGGCACAAGCAGGAAGTTCTTCCTGCAGCTGCCCACTTCTAATCGTGCCCTTTGTAATCTGCGGAAGCAGTTTACCTCTTGTCACATCTCTTCTGCTTCCTGTAACTTACGCTTGGTGACTCCAGGTCTGGGTTTCTCATTCTTTGCTTTGTAGGACTTGGATGCAACAAGCTGCAAGCTGGAGTTAGGGTTAGGAATTAAGTCCTCATGCTCACTTAACCTAACATACAGCGGAACTGAGTATACACCGGTCCCAAGAAGGCTGAGGAGAAGGAGCGCGACTCCCTCAGATGTGTCTTGTCATGGCAGTGTCGAGGTAATGGGGTGAGCGTTGTTTGCTTGGCCTGGGTCACCCTTTCCCGACAGCCACCTGGCTTTATCCCACAGCTCCTACAGGTCTTTGCTCAAGTACCTTTCTCAGGGAGGCCCACTCTGTCCATCCTATTAAGTGTTTCAACCCCACTTGAAATTCTGCCTTACCTGTCTGATCGCTTATCACCATCTGACACGCCATGTGTATTTATCAGTTTATTTATTGTCTGTCTCCTCATCTGAATGTCAGCTTCAGGTGTTTTTGTTTGATTGTTTCCTATTTTGTTCAATGCTGTGTTCCCAGTACCTAAAATAGTGCTTGGCACAGACTTTAACATTATGCAATAGTAATAATAATAATAACAACGACCTTTTAGGGCCCCTCTCATAGGACTGACATCAATAACCTATTTCCCCTCAAACAGCATGCAAATGAAATCATTCTCATGGGTCAGGGCATAATCCCCAACCAGGGCCCTCTGCTCAGATGTTCTGCTTTGGTCCCCAGTCCCCTCAAATTTTCCTACTGATTCCATCCTGCAGTAGCCAGGAACAGCCCAGGTCTGCACCTGAATGGGTCACTGAGGCTGGGTACCCAGTGCTGGGCTGGGCAAACCCATCCTGGGCAAGGGCATGGGTCTGGGGGCCCCCACCTTGGTGACTGGTGGTCTTCGAAGGACCTCAGAGTCTTCACAGCCAGCCCATTGGCTTTAGTAGCAGGCTGCTGCATTCTAATCCTAGTTTCACCACTGAACTAGCTGTGTGAGCCTGGCCAAGCAACTGCAGCTCTCTGTGCCCCACTTTCACACCCACTAGCCTGAGAAGGGGGTATCTACACCCACGTCACAGACGGGTTGTAAGAATTAACTGAAATGGTCACAGCAAGCCTAGCACATAACAAGAGCTCAGAAAATGAACTAAGATGCTGGTTCCAAATGAGGTCGCCTTGCAAGGATTTGCCTCCTATGGCTGAACACAAGACTCCATCCTAAGAAGAATCTGAGCGCTGGTAGTAAAGGCTTATGCCTCGGTGGGGCCCGTTTGGGGTCATCAGTCTCTCCACAGTTGGACAGCCTGTTTCTCATCAGACCACAGGGCCTGAGATCAGCTGGGGCCGCTTATCAGTCTTTCTCACCCTTCCCCCATTATAAAATGTGACAGAATTTATGGTGACAAGGAGTGTCCCATGACAGTTTCAATGAAATGTTTAGACACTAGCGTCAGGGTCACATTGCCCAGCCCTGTGATGGAAGGATCAGCTTCAGAGAATAGGGGTCAGAGAGGGGAGTGTGGGAAGGTCACCCTGTAACCCTATTACGGAGGTGGGGGCGGGTACTGCACTTTGGGAAACCTCTAGCTGGAAGAAAAA